TATAGATGTATTTATATTCATAGATATAGATATATAGATATATATATATATCTATATATAATACACAAAAACACATACACACACACACACACATGCATATATATATTTATATATATATACATACTCTCACACATACACCCACACACACAAACACACACACACACACACACACATATATATATATATTACATACAGACACACATACACAGACACAGAGACGGACTTAGACCTAGACATAGACATAGACACAGACACAGACTTAGACCTAGACTTAGACACAGACACAGACACAGACACACATATATAAATATATATACATACATACACGCACACACACACTTATGTATATTGCATCAAGACAACGCTATTCACATTATACAAATATTCAATCAAAATCAATCGTACACACACTGGGATATATTTGTATTGGTATTTTGATTCACACATAAAATACATTAAGCTAGTCTCAGTCCCGGCACGGGAATGTCGGTATCTAAAAACCCTCTACAGTACATATATCCGAATAACTCTTAATTAGGAATTAAATCGTCGTTCGCACGGTTCAATGGGCTCGTAATTACAACAATAAATGATACATGTTTTGCGTTTACCTGGCCAGGATAGCAGGCGATAGCTCCTGCTAGGGGGGAAAACGTGGTCTTCCATAGCTTTTGTAATAGCTATATTACTTTTATATTATATACAACTTATATAACTTGTACGTGCGTTGTGCAAAGTGTCGACGTGCGTTATCGTTGTAAGATATTAAGTATAGCCAAACCCATGTGATTGCTTCACTCCTGGCACCCTCCTGGAAAAAGGCCAGCAACTACCACTGCGAATATGTACTAGCGGTGTGCGCCGCTTCGCAACTGGTTGCGTACGCTGCTTATACCTCGACTATCTGCTGCAGTACTAAAGGTACTAAAGTATACACTTCAATATTCGAATACATGTGTACAGTATATGCACTATGTAAAAAATCGTCTATGATCCACAATAAGTCAGTGCCGTGGGGTTGATACGCTGCTAGCAATACGTTTATAGCGTGACGAGTATATATCTGCCTGTGTGCATTTTTATTTTTTAGTACCCTGCTTGACTGCTTCTCTGTCATTCAATTTCGGAGCCATTCAAATTGGCTGAAATCGTCGATCCTTCCTCATTCCAAAAGAGACGAACATCAGAACACTAAACTATTACGTTTGACGTTCTAGCGTATAAAATTGAATGCTTTTAACGCTTACTTGGTTCTATATGTTTGATAGGTTGCAAAATTTGGGTTCTGAGGTTCAATATATGACAACTATTTCCTCATATAGTCCGATTATGAAGTATAGTAGGTTAGATCCTTCATTCCTACTTATACGTTATACCGTTGAAATATCGAAACGGATTAATTTCACGTTCAACGTATACGCCGATACTACCATAACGTAATGAGGTTTGTACCGTTTGTCAGAACGAACATGATAAAAAAAAAACTTTCTTCAAAATACATATATTTAAAAAAAAATACAAAATGCAAAATTGTGATATTTGCCAATCGGCCTAAAACCCTGGGGTTTAAACGGGCCCGCAATCCCTTTGTGAGTTTCGAGAGGCCAGGTTTGAGGTTGGCCGCCGGCCCGCCGGCCGCCATTCACTGAGAAAGGGCTGAGTAGCCCGAGCCCCGAGGGCCCAGTCAGCCAGTCAGTGGTGACTGTGACGGGTGACTGGGGAGTGTGAGCCCCAGGCCGCTGCCCCACAGCCTCATAGGCGCGGCCCACTAGGTCCCCAGCCCTCAGGAGGCCAGGACCCAGGTCCCCTTTACTTCACTTTCTCGAGGAGTCGAGGGTGGGTATGTCCAATTTTCAAAATAAAATAAAATAAAATAAAGGGAGAACGGCAGAACGCTGAACGGACAAAAGTCCGTAGGACAATTTCTTTTATTTATTTAAAAAAAAAGCAGACCTCATTTTATTTTTTGAAAAACAATTCAGAAGGCTATGAAATAAAAATATTGTGGAGTGAGTGAGACTCTGCGTCTCAGTG